CATTGGGCTAAGCACAGGACACATGTTTACAAAGTATATACTAGTAAATGTAAATATGAACGTATAGAATACACAAGTACTTTCGACTTCCTCTCGCTTCTTGGTAATCGCATAAATGTAGTTGGCTGTGTTATTAGTTAGAGCTGTTTTATCGAAGACTTTAAGGAATATGAATTTCTCCATACTATTCCAATACATGTACTTAAAATTGTAAAACTTAATTTCGCTATCATACAAAGAACAATCCGCAATAAAATGTACCTCATGATACATCTTCAGGCTACTTTACCTAAACTACAAAATTACTACCTACCTACCGCTCCACCGCAAAATTAAATGTAATTTAATCAGAAGTACTAGTGACACTCTCTTCTGATTGGCTGAGCAGGGTAGATATATACGTTCTTATGAACATTCGTTCACATATGCCACAAGGCACTATAAAACTAGTAAAGGTCTCCATTCATTCATTATTAGGAGACCCCCATCATAGGTTATTTTTGGTCAGCCCTGTCATTAACCTGGGTACCAGACTAATCCAGGTCTATACAGGTCAGCTCCTTGTCCCCAGGACCAACATGTCATCCCGGCAATTTTATCACAGCCTCCCGGAGTTAGACATTGAAAACTGGGTGCAGAGTGAGGAAAATATGGGGCATGTTAAGCCCTAAAACCGAGGAGCTGGCCTGTGTAGTCCCTAGAAACAGTCTGGCGTCCAGGCTACCCTGTGGTTCACTGGTTTCAAAGCCTTTGATCCTCTGCGTTTACGTTGACAAAGACGAGCTAATCTCCGAACGCCATCCACCGCCCTAATTGGGATTAACCAAATCCCTTGTCCACAATTCGTGTGAGGGACCTCCGAGTGTCAGAAAATACGATTCCGATAGATAAAAATCAAACTAATTCGGGTAGTTGTTGAAAACCTACGAAACATATTAACCTCCTTGCTGCTAGTAATACTGGGAGTTCAAACGCCAGAGAAAGTGTTCACTAGTGACTAGACAGGTTGAAATACGGCAAGAGAATGAATGAGCGCATTGTGAAGTTAAAGTACACATTCAAAGAACAACAACATAATAATACAGGCATTTTGCTGAAATTATAAGATCACAGATCACAGGAGAAGTCGTAGACATCATCCCTCCATGAAATAGCTTGTTATTTTGTAATCTTTTGGTGTATTTCAATAGAGATATTATGAGTCAAACTTTGTTTTTATCAGCAGAATGATTTGTGGTGGCACTTTGTATTTTATCAAGCTGTCATGTGCAGGCGTTTACTGTCTTGTTACCATGGTTTGTTTACTTTGATGGCCAGCAGGTCATTTGCCTTAGCCTGGGTACCATCCCCAGTAGTATATTCGCAAACTCTATAACTGTTATAGAGTTTGCGAATATACTACTGGGGATGGTACCCAGGCTACACTTGCCTGTACATGTAGGTCAATGACCAGGCAAATGACCTGCAGACCAGACAAACAAGATTTATTTTCCTGCAGACTGTCTAGGGGTAAAAATAGATAGGGCTGCCTGGGTCTGACCTGCCAGCTGGAGGTAT